AAAAACTGTGTTAATTATTTGTTTTTCCCGTGGCTGTAAAGTAAATGTTTATTTAATTTAGGTTTCATATAATTTCAAAAACGAAAAAATGGCCTATTTTGTTAATCATGATTTTTTTAAGTAATATTTATTACTTGACTCTTTCCATTGACTTTTAATAAATAGGAGATAACCATTATTATTATTACGGCACCCACTTTCTTTCCAATTTATGGTGTTGAATGACCCGGAACTAGACAATTAACATTGAGCCGCAACCACAAAACACAGTTAAAAACACTGGTCACCAGTTAAGCTATAGAAAACCAGGTGTTTAAAGGCAGGAAGGCTTCGGGTGAATTAACTGTTTACACGTTTGAGAGGCAGCAGATATATTTGAAACCCATTCACACGAATAAATAGGTATCAAACGGTAAGGGTGTCGGCTTATAACTTTGTGAATGGGGTGTGTTTAAATACATTGCGGTGATATTATCTGGTATATAAGTAACAAAAAATTGTTCGTACAGTAATATGACAGCTGACGGGTATGAAATACCGAGGATTTAAAAGTAATTACAAAACGTTTGTCTACCAAAGTCTTTTTTTGTATTATTACCCTATTTGAATTTGGCTTCAATAATATAATCTAAATGCATATAAACAACATTAAAAAGTTCACATAAACGATATTATAACATACCATTTTAGAATGATTTATTATTATTCAAATTATTTTTATTTTCTTAAAATAATATTTTGTTAGGAAGTTATATTAATTTTTAGTGATTTAAAAATATATAAAATGCTACATTTTATTTTTATATATGATACTTTAATTAAAATAATTAAGTAAAAACGTAACAGTCAATGAGAAAATATCTAGTGACAGTATTAATAAAAAATTCTACCCTTTTTACATTAATATAAAATACTTGTATCAAAGTAATAGCATAGATAGGATTTGTTTATGGCAATATTTACTACTGAGACTACAATTTAAATTTTTTTATTATTTTGAATGAGTGAACACATTAATATATCAATAACGACAATAGTTAATTTTCAATTGATTCTATTTTATAAAGTCCTGTTGGAACCTAACGTGTTTATATTTAAAAACTAAAAATCCAAATTGTTTGTCTACAAAAATAATATATTTTTTAATGACCAGAAATTTAGTATATTCTTGAAAATTTACAAGTTAATTTTTTATAGTCACCACATATGTTTTATTTTTTAATTATTCAAAGATATTTTCTTAATATTTTCCTTTGTTTACACTATTAAGGCTTAGTGCTTATACTATGGTTGGTCGACTGTATCCAAATTGTCGGCATCTGACTGTTTCCACTGCTTGGCTGAACAACACTCGATTAGCTGTAACGCGTGCATAACACACGGACAATAAAACGGCAACGATCCGTATCACTGACATAAATTTTACTCGGTGGCGGCATTTCAAACTCAATTAACAACAACATAAGTAATAACTATGATTTTCGTTTTACTTGTTTTAATATTAACACGGTATATTTTATCATATATACTTCCATTCTGATGTCTGTACTGTTGTGATGATGCTTTGGTTTTTTAAATTCTGTGCTGCCATTTACAAAACCCAGTGGCCGGAAAACGTTGGAAATAATTAATTGTACGGAAACGTCTGACGATGTTGTCGTCGCCGCCAAAATGCAGTATACGCCTAATTGATCATACTGAGGGAACACTCGGCATTATACACACACACGCACACAAACACAAAAAGTAATTAAATGTGATTGTAGTGATTTAAAAAAAGACCAGTCGCTTATGTGAGGGTTTCACGGATTTTCGAGCACTGTGGGCCGAGTAGCCGATGGTTCATTACTATGTCGGTTATCTGAAAGAACCGGTCGATCAGTTCTTTAGGTGTGTGCGCTTCGGTTGGCACGAAGGGCCCCCAAAAGGGAACAACGGGGTCGTCGATCGTTTCCACATAAATGGTTTTTCAGCCATTACTTGTTTTGTTCAACATCAATAAAACTATTTTTAACATATTAATTCACATAATAAACTATATTCGTCATACGATGGATAACAATCTTCGTGTATATTCAAATGCTGAATATCATACACATATTTTATAAATTGATAGATTTAAAAAGTGTTTATTAATTTATGTAAAAATTAACAAAACATTTCATCAACTAAGTGCTGAAAAAAGAAATAAAATTTTTATAACACCCAAATACATATTCTTTATTGCAATAGAGGGATAATTAACACCAAGATCACTTGTTGATCATTAAACTTCTTCTAGAAAAATAATATTTTTCTTTTTCCTCGCCATAATCCCAACTAAATGGGGTCGGCCACGTCCTCGCGTATATCGGAGATTGGACAATCCGCCTAAGTTTTAGCCTTACACTTTTTGACAAAATTTTACGCCGACTGTCCTATGTTTTTGCGAAAATTTGTGTTGAATCATAAATCAAAATAAATTCAAGACACATACTATTGAATTTGTACCTTCATAACTAATATTTAGATCGTTTTAGGTAGATCAAGGAGCTGAAAAAAATGAATTAACTTATAAAAATGTATATTTGACGTTTTTCTAGCAGATGAGCACACATACTAAAATATAATTAAATGGATAAATATAATTTATCAATTGGCAAAAACTAAAAGATCCGTAATTTTTTAAAATAAATTTCAATTTTAATTTGGAAAATGGATCATTAAATATAAAAAAACCAACAATTCATCACATATCCTTAACATGTGATTAATCGATTAATGTACAGTAATTAAAGTATAGAGATAATCGACAATTTAAAAAACAGGAATATTACGGAAATTGTAGATGAGAAGAAGTAATTAAATTAAAAAGTTCGTCGTAATCTATCTCACTATAAAGCTGCTTATATATGAGATTTACATAATTCATTTCCTATGATTCTCAATAGACATCGTAATTTTAGTGTTACTAAGAACATCGATTTATCATTATTAGATAACTAAAATTTAAAAGATACTAATTTTAAAAAATTGTTTTGCACACACTCTTAATTCTTTATGAAATCTTTCTTATAAGAATTCCAAAACACTAAACTATAATATCCATATTGATCGCATCGACGATATGCTATTATAATTGTATACAATTATAAATAACAATTTTATAGACAGAATATTATCAAAAATGAAAAAGTTTTGTCTGATAAAACCCACAACTTTAAGGGCTTTCAATATTATAGTTAGAATATAGTAGTAATTTAACGTTAAATCAGATTAAAAATATAAATCTTAATTCTCATTACGAGCAACTGATTGAATGACATCATTTTTTTTTTTTTTTTATATAGCCTTTATTAAAATATTTAGCTCAAAATGACATCATATTTGTATAAAAAAAAAATAGGCCTTTGAAGTTGATAAGCTTTAGCGCATTTATTGTGAGATCATATAGTAAGACGTGATTTATAACTATTTAAGTCGTTCTGCATTTTTATTCAATCATCTTCCAAACTATTACTTATGTATAACTTCAAATCATGAATAAATAATAAACAATTACAATCTTTAAAAACCTTAGAAATATAACTAAACCTTATAAACCTACAAAAGATTTTTTTTAAACTATTGTAAAGAATTAGTGCTATAAAATTTTCATTATCTAATACTCCATAAAATTGTGTTTCGGCTTTTAAAGTTTAATAAACAACAGAAATATAATTAGAGATAAGAGTGTTATTTTAAGAGCGTATATTTCTCGTTTTAGTGAATTATATCATATTTCACATTTAAAAAAACTTATCTTGACTCCTTATCTTTTGTGTACAAATAATAATAATAATAATTAAAAAATTTTTTTTTGTGTAGAAAATCATCGTTTTTCGTGTTGTTATATTTGTTTATTTTAATTTATTTTTGAATCAATTATACTAACACTATTATATTGCTTATAAAATAACAATTCCTTCTAAAAATGAAATGCTGTATATAGATTTGCATTGAAGAATTTTTTAAGATACTGATTTTGAACACTTGTAGATATCATTTATATATGTCTCAATTTTCCTGTGTCTCCTCAATGTCGTAACCTAACTATAATGGTTTTTTTATTTGATCACTAAAAATCATCAAAAAAAAAAAAATTTTTTATAAGTATTTTTTAGCTTATAATAATTAAGAGAATAGATTTTTGTCATTACATTATTGCCCCAGTATAAAAAATAGATCTAGTGTGTTGTTAGCAGCGACAATATTATACTCGAATCATTCAGAAATAATTAATATTTTACACTTAGGCGGGAGGAAGAGTAAAATATTTAGTTATTACTTCAAATTGTAAATAACTTCTGAATTATATTTCAGTTGTTATCCACTAGTAATTTTCTAAACTAGATTGTTATCTAATAAATAAGCTAGTTAATTATGTATGTTATCATTTAAAAAATTATAGTTAAATTAAAAATATGGTATGAATATAAAAATACTATATAATTAATAAATAGAAAAAAATGTTAATAAAAGTTTATTTTTTGGTTTCGTAAATGAATCATAATGAAAAAATCATCGATTTTATTTATTTCGTCATATGGATTTCTATTATAAATCGTTAGAATTTGCACGATGAAATTTAAAAAAATTGGTTTTCAAGTGTGACTCAGGACATTCAGTCACACATCCTACATTTGATATTAGCTGAAAAAAACTCCAATGATATTTTTTGGGATTATCTTGTAATTGTAATAATGAAACTAGATTAATTTCAATAAATTTGTAATAAACAATTTAAGTGGTGAACTTAATATAATATATATTATATATGTTATATATGTTATACACAATAGTTAGTTAACACTTGTTTAACTATTGATGTAAAAATAAAGTTAAAAATTATAAATAATATTTTTAATTTTAGACTTTATTTTTACATTAATAATTAAACAAGTGTTCATATAACTATTATATATTACAAAGTTCATCACACAAATTCTTTATCATACATTTTTACAGTATAGTAGATTACACACATTTATTTTATATATTAAAATTATATTTTTATGATCAATATTTAAAAAAATCGGATTTTATCATTCTATTCGTTTTGAATAAATTAAATAATTTTAAATATGAACATTGAATTATTGACCTTAATATTTTTTACTAAAAATGTTTTTTTTGAAGTGGGACTTGTTAATTGTTTTGTAGATCCAACAAAGTATACATTATATTTCAAACAAGTAACTTGTCACGTTTGTCATCAATTAAAAAAATTGAACCTGGAACACTTCTCATTATTGATTGAAGATGATAACGTTATAAGTATAAAAGATGTTATAGAAACTGATTTTAATTTTATTCACGATTTAACACCTCTATATTATATTGTGGTTAATTTAATTAATTACTTGTTTGCTCAAGTGCTAGAAATATTCAATGAACACTTGAAAATCATTGTAGATGTTTGTGAATATTCTTATGAAAATAATTTATTTGAAAATGCAATTTATTGCACAGTAGTACTTTTAAATACAACAAAAAATTCAAATATGATGTTTGAATATTTGTACGAATCTATAAGATTTATTGATTACTTGGATGTAAAATTAGGGTTGTCGAGATCATTACGTTATCCAAAAACGATAATAGAAGAAATTTACACCGTTAAAAATTATATTTTTTTAATGAAAACATCAGAAATGTTAAATTATGTTGATAATGACGGAAGCATCAAAACTCAAGAAGCTAAACAAGACTGTAATGAAATAAATAATTTTTTTAATAAAGTAGTAGCTATAACAAATGAAATTTTTATATTCGATAATACTATTACAAATAGATCAGAGAAAATTAATTTCAGAGAGGAATACTATGGTGAATACATAACTAATATGTACCAAATGAATTTTGTCGATTTTGTTAGAGAAAAGTTATATGGTTATTGTTTAAAAACAATTGATAACTATTATTTCAAAATTGGGTTTGATGTTTTACTTAACCCTAATACTGCTGAGTAAGTTTTATTTTTAATAATAATTTTGCTGTTTACATATAAAAATTATATTTCGACAAACTGATTAATATTATATTTAAATTTTTAGAGTAATTTTAAAAATCAGCATTTTAAATACAAATTAACAAAATTGGGTAGCTTGAAATTTTAATTTAAATAGGCAAAACCATTTAAGATTGAATATTGTACAGAGTAATAAATTAAGAATGAGAAACTTATTTTTTTAGAAACTATTGAAAAATAGACTTCGCCTAGCTGGAATTTTGTCACAGACCTGAGGTCCTTTAAATTATCCTTACAGGTAGATCACATTTTCCGGTAGGAGTATCCAGCTATACTGCTACTACGATAAGTTTTTCATACAAATAGTATTACTTCAAAATCAGTATAACGAAAATATAATAAACATTTAACTATTAAAATGAGTAAAATTTATAATGAATCAATAGTAAAATGTAATAATTATATAATTGACATTTTGTGCCAAGATTATCACAATAATATACTAATATATCAATTTTAACACAATCTTTGGTATCAACAATATTAATAAAATTGTTTTATGATATTATTAGGCCAGTCAACAAAGGAAAAATGGCGGAAAAAATTCCCAACCAAATTTTTTTTTTTTTTTAAGTTGAATTAAGATATGTATAATGACATACTAAAAGTCCTCATCGATTGGACTTGAGCTTTTTTTTTACAGCCTCGCAAAAGTTCAAAAATATGAGCTTTTTTAATTTTCTCAAAAAATATTTAACTTACAAAAAAAAGTTTCGTACAAAAGTTATTTAAAAAACAATTTTAAACAAAAAAGGTATCTTATATTTTTTCATTTAAACAAATATTTTTCGAGTTACATTACATTTAATATGAGTACTAAAATATATTTTCCAATTTTTTTCATTTTACGGTTACTTTTTATCATGTTATACTTACATTAGACAAAATGTTATAAATGCATATGTGTGTATGTGTAATTTTATTTATTTATAGTATCATTAAAGTGTAGTGTATAATAAGATACAACCGATAGAGTAGGTAATTGATTTGACGCTATATTGTATAAACCCAACAAAACGCTAAAATGTACATTCCCAAACAACAATTATATTATGTCAATTAGCACCGTAATTTCTGGTAATGATAAAGAAAGTTGTCATAAAACGTATTGGCCTTTAGTCAGGTGCTGANGTCATAAAACGTATTGGCCTTTAGTCAGGTGCTGACGCTAGTAAAAATTGTGCCTACCGAAAAACAGGTTTTAAATGTTCTATTATATAAAGATTGAAGATCAAGAAAATTGTACTTTTGTTGAAGATATATT